TTGTTGTGTTGTATATCATTTTACTCGTAATTATAATGACTATCGACATATGTTTAAATGTAAAACCTACCAAGCCTTTCTTAACCCAGTCAACGCATCCGGAAAAATAATTTCCGATTTGGTTAATATATTATATATATATATATTGTACGCCGAACCCGATGCATTTTAATGATATTTTTGCGGGGAAAATAAATGTAGAGCAGTCCGAATGATGAAAAGAAATATAAGAAAAGTACTTGAATGGAGTCATAGTGATGTTTCCACATGGACGAAGAAAGAGGGTATGTATAGTACAGAAATTATTATGGGTTTTCTTTTGTTTTACAGTGATTTAAAAAGGAAACAATTACATATAGATATTGATAATTTTATATGTATTAAACAAGGGAGAAAAAGAATTACCTATAATTTGTAGTTGGATATAATTTTCATCCTACTCGTTGTGTGTTTCGTAAAGGCTTGTTGATAAAAATCACACAATTGGTTGAATAAAAAGCATATTCAACTACAAATCATGGGAAATCCTATATAAACACTTGATAACCCAGTCACTATGCAACAACATAATGGGGTCAAACAAAAAATACCCCTATCAGTACACTACATAACATGATCACTACACTGTTACCCTGATACTGCGCTACATAACCCAATCATTACACTACATAATCCACTCACTACACAACATATCCCAGCCATTTTACTGCATAACCCAGTCACATCACAACATGAAACAGTCACTACACTGCATATCCCAGTTACTACACAACATATCCCAGTCACTAGACAACATAACCCAGTCACTGCACAACATAACCCAGTCACGACACTACATATCCCAGTCACTGCGCAACATAATCCAGTCACTGCGCAACATAATCCAGTCACTACACAACATAACCCAGTCACTGCACAACATAACCCAGTCACTACACAACACATCCCAGTCACTGCACAACATAACCCAGTCAATACACTACATATCCCAGTCACTACACAACATAACCCAGTCACTACACTACATATCCCAGTCACTTCAATACATAACCCAGTCACTACTCAACATAACCCAGTCACTACACAACATATCCCAGTCACTACACTACATAATCCAGTCACTACACAACACATCCCAGTCACTACACTACATATCCCAGTCACTACAATATATATCCCAGTCACTACACAACATAACCCAGTCACTACACAACATATCACAGTCACTACACAACATATCCCAGTCACTACACTACATAATCTAGTAACTACCCAACACATCCCAGTCACTACACTACATATCCCAGTCACTACAATACATATCCCAGTCACTACACTACATAACCCAGTCACTACACAACATATCACTGTCACTAAACAACACATCCCAGTCAATACACTACATATCCCAGTCACTGCACTACATAACCCAGTCACTACACAACATATCAGAGTCACTACACAACATATCCCAGTCACTACACTACATATCCCAGTCACTACACAGCATATCCCAGTCACTGCACTACATATCCCAGTCACTACACAGCATATCCCAGTCACTGCACTACATAACCCAGTCACTACACAACATATCCCAGTAACTGCACAACATAACCCAGTCACTACACAACACATCCCAGTCACTGTGCAACATAATCCAGTCAATACACTACATATCGCAGTCACTACACAACATATCACAGTCACTACACAACATCTCCCAGTCACTAAACAACAAAACCCAGTCACTACACTACATTTCCCAGTCACTACAATACATATCCCAGTCACTACTCAACATAACCCAGTCACTACACAACACATCCCAGTCACTACACTACATATCCCAGTCACTACAAAACATATCCCAGTCACTACACTACATATCCCAGTCACTACAAAACATATCCCAGTCACTACACTACATAATCCACTTACTACACAACATATCCCATTCACTGCACTACATAACCCAGTCACTACAATGCATAACCCAGTCACTACACAACATATCCCAGTCACTGCACTACATATCCCAGTCACTACACAGCATATCCCAGTCACTGCACTACATATCCCAGTCACTACACTACATAACCCAGTCACTACACAACATATCCCAGTCACTGCACTACATATCCCAGTCACTACACAGCATATCCCAGTCACTGCACAACATAACCCAGTCACTACACTACATAATCCAGTCACTACAAAACATATCCCAGTCACTACATAACCCAGTCACTACACAACATATCAGAGTCACTACACAACATATCCCAGTCACTACACTACATAATCCAGCCACTACACAACACATCCCAGTCAATGCACATCATATCCCAGTCACTACACTACATAACCCAGTCACTGCAGTCACTGCACTACATAACCCAGTCACTACACAACATATCAGAGTCACTACACAACATATCCCAGTCACTACACTACATAATCCAGTCACATCAATACATAATCCAGTCACTACATAACCCAGTCACTACACAACATATCAGAGTCACTACACAACATATCCCAGTCACTGCACTACATAACCCAGTCACTACAATACATAACCCAGTCACTACACAGCATATCCCAGTCACTGCACTACATATCCCAGTCACTACACAGCATATCCCAGTCACTGCACTACATAACCCAGTCACTACACAACATATCCCAGTAACTGCACAACATAACCCAGTCACTACACAACACATCCCAGTCACTGTGCAACATAATCCAGTCAATACACTACATATCGCAGTCACTACACAACATATCACAGTCACTACACAACATCTCCCAGTCACTAAACAACAAAACCCAGTCACTACACTTCATTTCCCAGTCACTACAATACATATCCCAGTCACTACTCAACATAACCCAGTCACTACACAACACATCCCAGTCACTACACTACATATCCCAGTCACTACAAAACATATCCCAGTCACTACACTACATATCCCAGTCACTACAAAACATATCCCAGTCACTACACTACATAATCCACTTACTACACAACATATCCCATTCACTGCACTACATAACCCAGTCACTACAATGCATAACCTAGTCACTACACAACATATCCCAGTCACTGCACTACATATCCCAGTCACTACACAGCATATCCCAGTCACTGCACTACATATCCCAGTCACTACACTACATAACCCAGTCACTACACAACATATCCCAGTCACTACACAACATATCCCAGTCACTGCACTACATATCCCAGTCACTACACAGCATATCCCAGTCACTGCACTACATATCCCAGTCACTACACTACATAATCCAGTCACTACAAAACATATCCCAGTCATTGCACTACATAACCCAGTCACTACACAACATATCCCAGTCACTGCACAACATAAAACAGTCACTACACAAAATAACACAGTCACTAAACAACATATCCCAGACACTGAACAACATAACCCAGTCAATACACTACATATCCCAGTCACTACACAACATAACCCAGTCACTACACTACTTAATCCAGTCACTACACAACACATCCCAGTCACTACACTACATATCCCAGTCACAACAATACATATCCCAGTCACTACACAACATAACCCAGTCACTACACAACACATCCCAGTCAATGTGCAACATAACCCAGTCAATACACAACATATCCCAGTCACTACACTACATAATCCAGTCACTACACAACACATCCCAGTCACTACACTACATAACCCAGTCACTGCAAAGACTGCACTACATAACCCAGTCACTATACAACATACCCTAGCCACTACACAACATATCCCAGTCACTGCACTACATAACCCAGTCAGTACACAACATATACCAGTCACTACACAACATAACCCAGTTACTACAATACATAATCCAGTCACTACACACCATATCCCAGTCACTGCACTACATAACCCAGTCACTACAATACATAACCTAATCACTGTACTGTAGAACCATGGATAGTTACCCATTCACATCCTTATATCATATTATCACTGTTACCATATCAACTTATTTTCAAAAATAGTTTGTTTAATCAGCAGTGATAGCTCTTCTTAGCCATGGGAGTATCTTTTTGATGAAAAGTTCTCATCTCATTGTGGATATGTAACATCATCTTTGAAGTTGAATGAATTGTTAGAGGAGTATGAGTATGCAACATCATCTAGATTTCGGTGTTTGAAAAGTGAAAAGCAGTTTGGAAAAATATTTGGTAAGTCAGAGGTGAAGATGATCATGTATACCAGTTAGCTTATACACATGTATTTAATGGTTACATATTTTAACGTGTATAACAACTCATCTGTTTCACAGCTTCAATTATCTTTTATTACAAAATATTACAGAGATATCTAGCTTACTGGTATATAATATTTGAAACAATGCAAGAATGTACATGTGTTTTATTCTGTAATTTATTATTTAAATCAATGATTTAGTTCAATTACGATAGAAAACAGCAAAATATTTTATTCTTTAAAAATTAAATCTGTTTTTAGAAATTTCAAAGGTTAGTGATCCACAAGTAAGACTCTGGGATACCCAAGGCAATGCTGACCCCTACATTAGATATGATGGAATTCCTTTTATCATCATGGGCAAGAAAGTGCTTGAGTGTCATCAAGGATTTGACAGAGACAGGAAAACTAATCAAAGAAAAAAAAGAAGATTACCTGCAGTAAGTGATATTATGAATCTTTTAAAGAATTATGTTGACGTGATTAAGGTAAATTATGTTTAATCATGCAATTCTGTTAATTCATATGTCTGACTAAAAAAAAGAAAGATATTTATGTAGCTTGATTTTTATTTCTTCTGAAATATCATATTAAATGTCTACCCACTATGTATGCTAATTATAGTATCCCCATGTATATATACAATGGAGTATTTTTAGTAAAATTAAATTAAATGTTAACCTGTAAAAAATTTTTTTTAAAAGACAGACAATGGACAAATTTTGATTGATAAATCTCCCTAGTGCCTTTTGGGTTAGATAACATAAACTCAAGTAAAGAATTTGTTAACAGGAACATTATGAATCTGCTAATCTATTTTTTTTCATGCAACAGTACTAGCCTTGTAATATTTAGGACACCCTTTAAGCAAATTTTCTAAAACTTGTATTGATTTATGCATTACATAGAACTGTTGCTATTTAAGTTTTTAAATGATTTATTTGTTTTACTTGTAGTTGTAATTAAAGTATCTTTATATATCTTATCAACTTAGTATGATTATTATTTTATAACAATATGATCAACAAGTATGATTGATAATAAAACCAATCAATTCATCAACATTCATTTCTACTGTAAATCCTTTTCACAATGAATTTTTTAAAAATGGTTTTTAATTTCTTTTCCTTTTAGGTATCTACCTGTCAAAGAAGAGACTTTAAGTACGGATGATTGCAAGTAAGTTCAATCTTTTTTTTTTGATATTACATTTAAAGAACAACAATAAATCTTATCATAATTATAATTATTTAACTCTATCTATGGGTTTTGGAAAATTGCGAATTTTTGCTACTTAGAATTGATAATCTAAATTTATCTCATTTACACTAATATAGGCTTACTTGTGAAACTGAAAACCAGACACAGAGTGAAAATATGTGAGTGCATGTAGCTGAGATGTATACTTTTCATTAATGCGAAGCTTTGGCAAAACAAATAGTACATGGTTTGCAGAAAAATGAAAAGAACATTTGCTTAAAAAAATGATTTGCAATATATTGATTATAAAGACTATTTATTACATGGTAAAATATTTTTATGTACAAAGTGATGTTATAAATATGCAGGGGAAAAGAGGACACTGGAAAAGATGAAGAGGAGATACAAGATGCAGCTGATGTTGTGACACAATCTTCTGGTGGGTAGTTCATATGTACTTTGCTGTGTTCAGGTAAATAAATATATTGCTATGTATTTTGCTGAATTTTTAATAAAAAGCTCTCTTTTTAAGTATTTGATACAGATTATATTAACAGTCATGTGAGTATAAGAAAGTTAAATACATTATTCATGTTTATCAAATTAATTGAATACTTTTGTACAATACATATTATTAAGTAAACATTCTTTTTACAGCTGAACAGTGTAATAGGTGCTCTAACAAAGATAATGAACTGCAAAATTGGTGAATGGTAATTTGTTCTGTTAATATTCCTGTACAAATATGATATTAAAAAAATGATGAAATTGTATACATTGGTATATCATAAGTAATAGATAATGTCTCAGGTAGACACACAACTTTCAATTTTTTTACATTTTCCAGTGATGAAGCTGATCATGCCCGCCATCATATGTTTGTAAAGAACCCTGCAGATATGTATGAGAAATACATTAAACAGTATTTCTTTGGAAGAAAATTTTTAAGTTCTCAGGTAAGAATTAGAAGAATTATATCTGAAATATCACATGACATATACGTATGTTCATTTTAAATGTTGTATCAAAAATTGCACTGAAAAAATTATTGAATCTTTTCATTGGAACTTAAGATAAATTATGTGCAGTTCCAAAAGTATTTTTCTGTTTACATTTCAATGGACATTATGCTGACTTACTTTAATAGGAACAAGAACATCTACAAACAGTTCTCCAAGAAGAAATGTTCTGCAGCAAACCTTTGCCTGGGTAAGAGTTTGCAGATAATTATTTGATTTTGAAGTCATGAATGCATTAGAAATTTAGAACTGTACTCTATTTGTAATTCTTTGTCATTTATTGTCTTAATTCCTCTTTTTGGTTACTTTTTACCAGGTCTATATAAAATTTTAAATAATTTTCCAGATCCATTATCACTCGATATAGAACCTTCCAAACTCTTGAAAATGAAGAATTGGAAAGTATCCTTATAGATAGTCCATTGTATGTATACTCAATAATTTTTTTTTACCAGATCTATTACATGTTTAAAAAGCAGCATAACAATTTATGAATGTACTCCCTATACCCATTATAATATATGTAAGCATGCATTATTTTCAAAAGATTTTTCTTTTTTCAGAATGGCAGTTCACTATTTCTCATTCATTCTACTGAAAGAAGCAATGGTTTATCTGATCTGTAACAAAACAGGACTGCCTTATGAAGAGGCTGATGCAAGATGCTCATCAACAGAGTGTTCAGTAAAGGATTTCCATCTATACAGTACCCATATCGTTATTCTTTACAGGATACACGATACGATAGGATACACGCACGATACGATAGGATACACGCACGATAGGACAGGATACACGCACGATAGGATAAACGCAAAACACGATAAACGCAAAACACGATACACGCAAAACACGATAAACGCAAACCACGATAGACCTGAAAAACGATCTACACGATAGGATAAACGCAAAACCTGATAGGATTGTTTCAAAATGCGGAACGTTTTTTGACAAGACGAAAAGATTATTTTGAATTAAATTTAAAGATTAAAGACTATTTAAATTAAATTATATTTTAATTTAAATACACGCAAGCTTCAAATCTAAACTATAAAGTACATTTACTTATTATAAAAAGAAACCTGAGATCTATGTATTAATTTTACAAAAGTTGTTTATTTATATATATATATATAATTGACAGTGATTAAATGGATTTTTATAAAATGGAGACTGTATTTTTTTTTTAAATTCTTCTCAAGTAAGTGAATTTTGAAACTCTATAAACAGATTTATTATTTATGAAAAATATACATTTTAATTTTTATCAAATAAATTTATCTACAAGTACCATGTTATTTCACGGAAGAAATTTACGCAATAAATTAAATATTTGTATTTAATGTCTAAAACTTACAATCTGCAATGTATCCAAAAATCGCAATTAATTATTTATATCTTAAAGAAATAAAAATACAAGAAGAAGACTGGCCAAAAAGAAAGGATTAAAGAAAACGGCTTTAACAAAATTAATAAATTTAACATGATAGATCTATCAAGAACGAAACAGTTGAAGAAAATTAAATTTTCTGAATAGAAATCTAAATAATTGTTTAAAAATAATGGCGATCTGCATTAATACATGTAAACTGTGTCATGAGAATATGAATCTGCTTCAACTGCACATGTACGTTTACGCTTAGCTCTGACTTATGTTCATGTAAACATTTTACATTACAGATACTTAAAACCTCGTATTTATTAACAAACATTGAATGGTTAAATTACTTTCTTCTTTACAATACAAAACAGAAAAATTAATTAACAAATATTAAAATAGTGAAATGCGACTTTTCCGACTAAATGATTATAAATCATTGCTATTAAACTCTGTGTAGCCTGTTACTTATAATAACGAAAAATAGGTTTAATTCGGCAAATGAATTATTAAACCTTAAAAATCATTATACACTGACCCGGTAATCTCATATTAGGCATATTCGAAGAACGTTATTTTGAAATTCCGCAACCAATTTAAAATAAGATAAACAAGATCAAACCAAATAGCCAAATATAATAGTGAATTCTTAAATAAAGTTACATACATATGGAATAAAACCGATTAATGCTATAAATTGATTCGGTGTATTTATTAGTCTTGCATGATCACGGCGGATCAGACGACTCCCTTTGCTTTATTTTAATAGTAAGATACCGTTAAAAAATATTGCGAGCTAATTTTCATAGTTTAGAACGTTAGAACTATTTCATCCGTTTCTACGATCAATGAAATTGTTTCCTATAATTGATTTTGTGCGTTTTACTAGAAAACCCATGACCCGAAAGTGCACGTACACATGTATCATAAGTGCAGAATATTTTTTTTATGTTTATTAAAAGACTTATTTAAATAAACATAATGGAAACACGAAATGAAAAAGAATCAACGGGGTGGGTTTAGGGACTTCATTTTATTAAATTTATTTATTTGATTTTTTTTAACATTCAAGATAATTTTTTAATCCATAAATTGTTCAGTTATTTAATGTATTTTGAATTAAATCTTTGATAAAATTGTTCAAACAAGTTAGGAACAAAATCCAGAAAATAAGTAGATGCGTTTCATTAGAACCAGGTAGTATTCGGGGTTACTAATTGACCCCAGGTGAGAAATCAGTACAGGTATGTTGACGGTGATCACACACACACACACACGGGCCGAGGTGTCAATTAGAGGAGAAGGGGAGGGGGCGGTTGACCGCACAGGAAGACAGTGTGCTTATTAGAGAGCTACACATACGTGTCAGTTTTCTTGTAAGGAAAGGTCTTCGATTTATTTTGATTTTTGGCATCCCAATGGATTATATTTTGAGTTTATTTCCACGCCGACAAGGTAAGCTGTTAAAAACTTCATGTTTTCTTCTGTACATGTATATATTATTTTTATGTCATCTAATGCCAGATAAAATTAATGAAAATCTTCTATTTTATAGTAACAGCCATGGTGTGATAAATTTGGGAGATTATTTTCATTGATTATATTTTATAATTTTGATTTCTTTTATTAATTTAGACATATGTCAAGGAATTTACAATTAGCTTTAAAAATAAATTTAAAATTTGAACGTATACGGCAAAAATCGTTGTTAAAATCATCTGGATCATTGTCTTATGTTATGTTTTATTTGTAACACCAAAACTTTAAATAATTGTGCATTCATACAAGTCAGTAGTCAATATATTTATAACTATTATTAAGCGATAAACAGTGAAAACAGAATATTGCATGATAAAAGATACATTACAATATCCTGTTTATTATATTTATTTATTAGCTTTTTGTCTACGCGAACATCGTGAAGCGACGACAATCTTTCTCCGGTAACTCCGATTTATTTGAGAAAATCATATTAATAGTATTTAATTTTGACGAAGTAAATCATACAATACGATAAATTATTTTTCAAAGAAATAGACCAGTTGATCGATCTACTTATTATTTCATTTCCGAAAAAGTTTTACTATTTAAATTTTGACAATTACTCTCTGCATTACCATGATATAATTATTTATTTATTTAATAAATCATTTATAAATAAAGCAATTTATTCATTCATGAAATACGCGATTGATTTTTTTACTACGCTTTAATATTTTTTATATTGATGAAAAAGAAAGGGATAAATCTTTATTTTCTCTTTTGCGGTTGAATTAATCTTATTTTTATTAACAAAACGAAAAAGAAACTCGGAATAGCTCAGTAGTTTCTTTACATAGTTAAGATAAAAAGCGAGGATTTCCGAATATACACGATAAACGCAAAACACGATACACGATAGAACCTGATAAACGATCTACACGATAAAGCAAAACACGATAAACGGAAAACACGATAGAAAACGCAAAACCTGATAAACGGAAAACACGATACATGTACGATAGGATACGATAGGATACACGCACGATACGATAGGATACACGCACGATACGATAGGATACACGCACGATAGAACACGATAGAATTGTAAAGAATAACGATGCAGGTACTGTAAGTGACTGTTCAGTCCAAAAACTTATTATGCCATACAAACTTATTATGCCATACAACAAATCAGTATTTGGTTGTTTTTGTTAGTTCATACGTGATAAATGTTGCAGTACTATGTGTAGTGACTGGATTATGTAGTTAAATGAATGGATTATGTTGTGTTGTGATTGGGTTATGTAGTGCAGTGATTGGGTTATGTATTGCAGTGACTTTGTTATGTAGTGCAGTGACTGGGCTATGTTGTGTAGTGACTGGGTTATGTTGTGTAGTGACTGGGATATGTTGTGTAGTGACTGGGTTATGTTGTAAAGTGACTGGGTTATGTTGTGTAGTGACTGGGATATGTTGTGTAGTGACTAGGTTATGTTGTGTAGTGACTGGGTTATGTTGTATAGTGACTGGGTTATGTTGTGTAGTGACTGGGATATGTTGTGTAGTGACTGGGTTATGTTGTGTAGTGACTGGGATATGTAGTGTTGTGACTGGGTTATGTTGCACAGTGACTGGGATATGTAGTGTAATGACTGGGTTATGTTGCGCAGTGACTAGGATATGTAGTGTAGTGGCTGGGAAATGTTGTGTAGTGTCTGGGTTATGTTGTGTAGTGACAGGGATATGTAGTGTAGTGACTGTGTTATGTTGTGCAGTGACTGGGATGTGTTGTGTAGTGACTGGGTTATGTTGTGTAGTGACTGGGATATGTAGTGTAGTGACTGGGTTATGTTGTGTAGTGACTGGGTTATGTTGTGCAGTGACTGGGTTATGTAGTGTAGTGACTGTTTTATGTTGTGCAGTGACTGGGATATGTTGTCTAGTGACTGGGTTATGTAATGTAGTGACTGTTTTATGTTGTGTAGTGACTGGGATATGTTGTGTAGTGACTGGGTTATGTATTATAGTGACTGCGTTATGTATTGTAGTGACTGGGATATGTAGTGTAGTGACTGGTATATGTTGTGTAGTGACTGGATGATGTAGTGTTGTGACTGGGATATGTTGTGTAGTGACTGGGTTATGTTGTGTAGTGACTGGGTTATGTTGTGTAGTGACTGGGATATATAGTGTTGTGATTGGGTTATGTTGCGCAGTGACTGGGATATGTAGTGTAGTGACTGGGTTATGTTGCAGTGACTGGGATATGTAGTGTAGTGGCTGGGATATGTTGTGTAGTGACTGGGTTATGTTGTGTAGTGACTGGGATATGTAGTGTAGTGACTGGTTTATGTTGCGCAGTGACTGGGATGT